TTCAAATTGTACAATTATCACTCCAGTTAACATCCATCCAGCAGCTGCAAACATGAAACCCAAGCACAATTGCGAGGGGGCCCGCTTACCCTTCTCCTGCTTCTTATATGCCAGTCATCAGCAGGTCCATCGCGGTCAGCAAATCCCCTTGTCACGAAACTCAAGCGCAATTGCGAGGAGGCCTGCCTACCCTTCTCCTGCTTCTTCTACGGTCATTAGCAGGTCCTTCCTGGCTCCCGACACCGGGATGCAGCGGTGACCTCAGATTTGCTTGATCTACCCCCAAGATCGCTAGCGGCCGGTCTATTGGTCAGCAAATCTCCTTGGCCGCTCTATCGGCCCAGGTACCCTCCTTCCACACGGGGACTATGCTGCACGCCAGATGTCTCTACGCGATTTACCAGCAGCCCCAGCCAGGCGTACAACTTACAGGCCTTTCTCATACAACATACCGTTTTCCTCTGCGGCTTCAGGAGGTTCTTGTCTGCTCCCGCGGTGAGTGGCTGGCAGCGGAGGCTCCTCCGAGGAAAGTGCTCGGGGCGCGCCCAGGGGGATTTTCATTATATAAGGTGATATGCGGACACAGACACCACAATCTGTAAGATTGTAAGTAGGTATGTTTATTCAGCGCTGGGCAGCACGGGGGGTAGTCCCACCAAAGTCGTGTGCACCTCCACGTGGCAACTTGCCCTGTTTATGTGTAGCAAAGTGCTACATATGCATGAAGTTTCCCAATATGCCTATACATATGCATAACCTGTCCCCGCTTTTTATTAAAATTAGCTTCATGAGGTCATTTCCATAAGTCCCTCCTGACTGTGCTTGCTCAGTGCCTCCTTGTGGGGTCGTCGGGGGTCGTGGGGATGAAGGCTGATGGCTCCTCTTCGTCACCACTAGTAACCCCTTGTTCTTGCGCAGACCCAGTTGCTTCTTTGCTCTTGCCCAAACTGCAGGGTGTTCTTATCAAGAACTGTCCTTCGTAAGGAGACTCTTCCTGCGTCAGTTAGTTCGCACAATAGTTAGCAAAACATTTGAGCACTATCTATTAATTTGATTCTCTGGGCTATGCAGCAATCTAGACAATTATTGCGCAGCATCTTATCTACTAAGATTCCCTTAACCCCTTCTCTCATCAGGAATGATGGATGGACCAAGTAGCCCAGGATGAGCTGATGATTAGGGGTTTTTCCCTTGTTGATTTCCAAGAGTCTGCTCATGCTCCCCTTGCTTGTGAGGTGCTTAAGAACTCCTAAAACCCAAAACCCAAAAGGAGCAAAAAGAGCATCCATTAATGAAAAGTAGGCTTTCTGTTCATTTCCCAGGGTTGCTTCTTAAAGTCCGTTACTGGTTGTGGAGGGATGAGTCACCTTATCTACTGTTACATGTTATCCATCATGGGAGTCTTCTCAGAACTGAATCACCTGCATTCAGTCCTGGCTGAAGTTGGACTAATGCAAACCCCTGATTTAAATGTCAACCAATTGTTTATCCCTTTCTCTGCCCTTCATATCCCAAATAACAACTTGCCCCTAGTTGCTTTTTCCCCATTAGTCCCAGTTTTGCTACATCTGTAACCACACACATTTTCTATTTCTTCTACCATTACCTAGGTCACCTTGGCTTTACATGTTATTATTGATATAGTTACTTAGGTGCTGCTGGCCTTGCAAGTTTCCACTCCTAAAAAAGTCCATACTATTCACTTCCAGTTATCTGTGAAGCTAGTCATGAAATTACCATATAACTCCCCCATAACTACCTGTGAAGTACATTGCTCACAGTGCTATCTGTAACTATTATTAGCTCTCACTCTGTTATTTGTTATGTTCAGAGTTTCTCATGGTCTGGTTAGCTAGACCTCTGGCCAGATCCTAGTCATCTGTCTGCACACTTTAAGAAACAACAATAATTTGTTGATTAATGCTCACAGAAGATAGGCATGACTAACATGCTACAAGGCTCTACACCTGGACAGATTCTACTGGCCAGGTGGTCATCAAACTGGTGCAGGACTTGCCAGCTTCCAGCATTCCTTGATGCTAACTGATCCTTTGTGTTGCTGGGTTGCTGTCTTCTGACTCTCCACCAGGGTTTTATACCCCCTGTCAGTATTTTTCTCAAATCCATCAGAAAGCTAATACTGGCTTAATGAAGCTTTATTTTTCTTCGCTTTTTCTTCCACGACCCCCTCCCCCTCAAGCTTTTTTATAAAGATAAGTCAAGATCATGATGCAGCTATGCATCATTAAACTGGACTCTGGGTCATGAAGTCTTCTCTTGTGGGTTATGTAGAGATTTTTGGAGATGTAGATGATGTCTTTGTATTGAAAGAGAACTTAATCAAAAGGTAGTAGGCAGGGGAATACTGAGCAGAAGTGTATGTCACCTATTCCTATTAGCTCTGAGAGCACAAAACCATCTTAATTTAGAAGTGACTAAAATGCTGATATAGAAATCTTTGAATATAAGTGTCTGTAATGCTACAGAACATTTTAGTTACAGTTTCTTCTGTAAGACTCTTCCTAATAGTCTTTGAACAAAATTCGTAGCTGGTGTAAGTTCAGTGACTGTAGTATCTTCTTTGAGGGCTTCTGAAAATTTCCCTTACTAGAATGAAAAGTACCAACATTGCTTCTTACACTCAACAGGCTTTGTCCTTCTTTCAAGTTCGCTGATGTAACTCCTCAGCTCAGTAACATTGCTTCTAATGCCACCTGTATACAGTAAATCAGCTCACATGCAGTGCGCACCCATGTAAACACTTTGAAAGGATGATCAGTTGGTAGGAGAAACTGGGAGAAATTAATCTTCTCAGCCTGGTCAGGTACCCAATACTGACAGATCTTTGGGTATCACACGCACTACAAAGTCCATTTACATGAATATAACACAGTGCTCCTAGCCCTTTAGAATGGGCATATGTTATAGGCTGTAAGTAGCAGTGGCCTGCAGTTGCGACAGGCATGGGGGAAATCGTGAACTACATCAAAACTGGTTCCAGCCTGCCCAGATGCAAGCCAAGCAACAGTAGAAAAAAAAACATTGCACACTATAACCTTACTCAGACAAGCATACAACACCTCCCCACATTAGGAGTAATCTGCAGCTGTTAAGATGGGTAAACTCCTCACACAAGGAACGTGTAAGGAACAGACCACATTGAAGAAAGTTTGCTCCTGAAAGAACTGCAGCCAGTGGTCATTCCCCATGCTGGAGCAGGGACGACTAAGAAACAGGACAACAGGAATCCCTTATGCCCAGCACAACTGGAAACATTGGGCACTGAGTGGCACAAACCATAATACCTGGGATAGCAGAAAGCATTATGCATACTGCCTCAACTTCCTGTGCTGCCTATTGGCTCACTGAGTGAATTCTGACAGTGTGTATGTCACAGTGAAAATAAAGCAAACTGAGACTCGGGGGGCAGAGGAGAGAAAAAAAAGTACATTGATGTGTTTGTCTAATTGTTTGCATACTTTTTCTTTCCCCAGTACCTGAATCAGCAATAAAATATTTAGATTGGTTGGTAGTAAATTAATTCAAGTAAAATTCCCCAACTTCAGACTGGTTTTGTTTGCAACATCTGTATATTGGCAAAGTTTTCTACCATGTGAGATCATTATTGAATAAATCCATCATCTGCACAAGTGGAAGCTTGTTTTAGAAAGCAGAAACAAGCCTATAAAGCTCATCAGTAGGAACTTCCTGAATTCATCCACAGCTACTGAAATAATGGGTCTTTCTGATTACTGAAATGACAGGAATTGCAATAGCACTCATACACTCCTGAAAAAAACGAAGATGG